ATGGCACAATAGCAATTTTGTGAAATGACGCACCTCAAACTGATATCAGGCTCAGTTATGTTATTTCCAGCCTATAGATCCCTTATTTATTTTGAGGTTAACAAGGGTGGTAGCCAGTTTATTGACAAACCTATTGACAAATTGCTGATTAAGTCAGGAGTCAGAATGATGGGGGGAAATTGCTCTTCTGACAACAATAATCAATCAGGATTACAAAGCTGACTTTTACAAAGTGAAACAAACCTGATAATTGCAATTTATTTACTTATTGGTTCATTTAATATTTATCTTATTATCAAATCTGTCTGTTCTTCATTTCCTTGCTGAGATATGATTATAAGAACAACATTGTATACATTCACAAGCTGTCTGGAAAATTTATATAACTTTTTTTGGCGGCACAGAATCGATGGGCCATGGAACCTCTTCTGTGATTTTTGGTTCTATGATCATATGATTCCAAGAACTCATGTCATTCTTTGTCTCACTCAGTATTTCAGAACAACTTCAGGAGTGTTAGGAGCAGCTGTATGAGAATGCAATTCCCAGTTTTGATCATCGAAGTATCTTAAATCCATGTGTTATGTTGTTAGTTAATCAGAAAGTGGGCAGGATGGGCACTGTAAATATATGATACTTAGATGGTGGGTCTACTGGCACAGCGGTAGTGTCCCGAACACTAGACTGAAGGCCTGGGTTCAAGTACTAACGGCTCCAGGGATGTTAGAACATGTCTAAACAGGTTAATTAAAAATAGTTATGACACTTAGAGTACTTAACAAGTGGCCAGCAGTAGCTCAGAGAACATCCAAATTAGGTCAAAAACTTCAATCTTGTAACCAGTTGTCACAGCTATCAAAACCCTGATTTATTCTGTGACAAAAGTTATTTAAAACACTTAAAATTTCTGGTCAGTTCTTCTTTATATTCAAAAATTTGCCAAATCTAACAAAGTTAAACTTTAGTTCTGAAGGTTAGCTGCCAGAGAGGTAGCATAAAAGAAAGTTTAAGAAACAGAGGCAGCTGGGAATATCATGAACAGGAGCAACTTAATTTGAAACCACAAGACAGAGAAGCAAACTATTATGAGATAATGCTGTCATTTCATTGAGAGGGAGAAATAGCATTTTTGCACTCTTGATCTGGCAAAAAAAATGGACTTCAAGGCTTCAGCAAGTCGCAGGCAATATGATTCATGTTTCTCAGGCTAAGGGGACATCGATAGTAATAATTGGGATTGTACAGGTGGTGCTGTTAACCAGCCACAGCAAAAAGTGAAAGGAAACATAGAAACTAGGAGCAGCAGTCCTCCATTTGAACCGTCGGTATGCTATGTCATTCAATATGATCATGGCTAATCAATGCCCGGATTCCCACTTTCTCCCATACTCCTTGATGTCTTTAAAATCTAGCATGTTATCTATCTGTTCCTTGAATATATTCAGTGACTTGGTGTCCAGAACCTTCTGTGGTAGAGAATTCCAGAGATTCACTACCCATTGTGTGAAGAAATGTTTCCTCATCGCAGTCCTAAACGGGCTACCTCATATCCTGAGACTGTTTCCCCAACCAGGAACAACATCCTGTATCTAGTCTGCCTAACTCTGTCAGAATTTTATGCATTTCCATCAGTTCCTGTTCTTACCCTTCTAAATTCTAGTGAGTTCAGGCTCAGTCATTGGACAGTCTCTTGGCATTTTGGTATTAACCTAGTGAACCTCCCCTACACTCTCCCAATTGCAAGTATATCCTTTCTTAAGTAGGGAGACCAAAACTGCACACACTACTCCAGGTGTGGTCTCACTAAAGCCCTATATAAAGACATCTTTACTTCTGCATTCAAATCCTCTTGCAATGAAGGCCAATATACCATTTGCCTTCCTAATTGTTTGCTGAACCTGCCTGTCTACTTGCATTGAAAAATTGGACAGCTGGGGATTTGAGCAGTGAATGAGGTTAATTAATTGAGTTGGAAGGATATGACATTTAAAGACGCATTCACTGATCTTTGACCACTTGTATGAAATAATTGAATTTCTTGTATCATCACATTCCATGTCTTCAGAGCTTGATTCCTGACATTGATTTCCATAACCATAAGCTCCCACTGCTTTTTAACTGTATGTCTGGATGGCTTTTGGCCCACTGCAAATACAAGAAAGCTATTTTCTCCCCTACCAAGACCTCCACTGCAACACAATGGAACCCACACTGTCCCTCATTGTGATTTCTTCATTCACAGGTCAGATTCCCTTCAACCTTGTTCTGTGTACCATATTCCCCAGGCTACAACTGATTACTCATGTTAAGTAGTTAGTGAAGTGTCCATCTGCCCAATATCAAATTAAATAACAGTGGATTTAGTAAGATATCTTTGCGATCCAAATTGAGAATTGTGGTTTTGTGGCCATCTCCAATATTTTTGAAGGCTGACTAAAACCCTTAGTGAAACAAAGCTAGATATAAATTAAGCCAATTCAAAATGGGAGCAGATTAAAACCACTCAGCTCTTCAAACCTGCTCTGCTATTCAGCAAGATCATGGCTGATCTCCTTATACCATATTCCTGCCTATCCACAATAATGTTTCATCCCCTTGCTTATCAAAAATCTATCTATCTATCAACTACTGCCTTAAAAATATTCAAATACTCTGCTTCCACTGCATTTTAAGGAAGAAAGTTGCAAAGATTCACCATCCTTTGTGAGAAACAATTGCTGTGATCAGGTGTGGATTCAATGTGCATTGTGATCCTTGTCCTTGTTTTCTAAAGATCTCCAATTGCACTTCCTGACTCCTCCGTTCCTCTCTGTTTCTCACTCTTGTTGCTCCCCTTGTCTCTTTATCTCCCTTCTTCCTGCTCCTCTACTCCCCATCTCCCACTCATTTCCAGTTTCTGAATTGGGCAAGACTGGATGGCAATGCATGGTAACCGATCGAATGACTAAGTATGGTAGCACACAGCTGTCAAATCAGAGGCTGGAAGTGAAGATAATCTTGTTACTTGTGACAACTAAATTAGAGCAATTATTTTTTAAAATGATATCTGCAATATAATTAAGAGAGAAAATACACATTAGGTCTGCCAACAGCTGAAATTAGAAAAAGGCAAGTTAATTTTTCAACTACATGCTAGGTTGGCTAGCAGAGCACTGAATTGTCCAGTGTTGGAGCTAAGAAAAGCACGGATGAGGGTCTCCGTAGCAAATAGGTTGAGATGGGCTTAAATACATGATATATGAGAGAGAACTGCCTGTCACTTCACCTGACCTTAGTTACAACTAGGTGCGTTAGTTTATACTATGGTTTTAAAATGCTAGTTGTGCATGAAAAGCCAGATATAACTTCAGAATCTTCAGGTGAGGAGAGTGTAAATTGCTCAAATATGAATGAAATTTCCCTTCCTAATTAAAACAATCTAATCCTTACAGGTCAACTGAGAAGCATAATGCTTGGATTAAGCTCGTTACTGCCATGTTGCTAAAGTGTGCACCTGAACAGAAAGATACTACTGGAAATGAAATACTTTCTATCTGCCGCTCTCTCTACTTGACAAAGCACAAACTATCATTTCAGGTGATTTTAGAATTCTTTTTCAACGTTGCAATTATATTCAATTTGTGCTAATTGTATTAACGTCATAAAAGCCAGCTCTGAAAATGCAATTCCCACAGAAATAGTGTTGACAATCCAACCACAACAGATTAGTGGCAGTGCATTCACATTAAAGGTATAACTGCTATATTCCTGTAAAGACAATGTTCATATGTAAAAATAATTCACTTAGAACCAAGGACTGAAGTTATTCTCTCTCCAGTCTTTATGAAGCTAAATAGTGCATTTATCCCATTGGGGTAGAGGTACCCTTATAGAGCTGTGGCTCCTGATATGACTTTGAAACTGGCAACTACAGTGAAGCATGTGCTTTCATAAGTCTGGACATATTCTGTTATTCTATTATTATGTATTGTTCTGATAGTTTATTACAGCTCCACAGGCTTTTCCAAATATGACTGGTCTACAGCATGCTACATATTTTTGCCATCAGAAATAAAACAATTTTGCAGTAATGGAAGAGAATGCTGACCTTAAGCCCAGAGCTAAAACTTTGTCTGTTGTATTACAGCTGCAATGATGAAGACAATTCCAAAATACCTATTAGAAGACAGTTTCAAACAGGTTCCTAATAAACCCAGCCCAGCAAGCACTATGCCCACCAATGACATTAAACTGGCTTCATCTTCTATTCACACCTATTATTCATCTCTTGCATTAGAAATTTGCCCAAATACAATAGTTTCTATACAAGCTCCAACAACACTCCAAGAAGGTTGACACTATTCAGGACAAAGCAGCCCACTTAATTGCCACCACCTCAACATTCGCTCACTCCACCACTGGATTTCATTAACATTAGAGTATACCATCGACACAAGATGCAATGCCGAAATTCACCAGCGCTTCTTAAACAGCGTCTTCCAAACTCATGACCACTTCCAGCTAGAAGGACAAGTGCAGGTGGTGTTTTCATGCTTCTCCTGCACTTATCCTTCTAGCTGGAAGTAGTCATGAGTTTGGAAGGAGAAGTATGAAAACACCACCTGCACAGACCATCTTTACTTGGAAATATATTGATGTTCCTTCAGTGTTGCTGGGTAAAAATTCTGGAATACCCTCCCTAATGGCAATGTGAGGCTACCTACAGCTCATAGAATGCAATAGTTCAAGGAGGCATTTTTTCTGAAGAAGGGTCTAGGCCCGAAACGTCAGCCTTCCTGCTCCTCTGACGCTGCTTGGCCTGCTGTGTTCATCCAGCTCCACACATTGTTATCTTAGTTCAAGAAGGCAACTCGCCACCACCTTTCCAAGGGGTAACTAGAAATGGGCAATGAATGCTGGCCCAGCCCGCGATGCCCATATCCCAAGAATGAAAAAAAAAGTAGATTGAGAGAAGCCCTGAGAAAATTCCCTTTTGTTTTTGTTTAAAACCCAGCCTTTGGAATTAGCAGCCCCAGTCAGCAAGAAAACAAACACTGTATGATAAGATATCTACATGTGCCAGTCAGGAAGTAACTCTGCAGCAGTCCAAAAGATGATCTAGAAAATTGTTCTGTCGCAGAAAGAGAGAAAAGTAGAAAGCATGATCTCAAGCCAGAAGATTTGGCATTTGCATTATTATTTGTGCCTGGAAGATAATAGATATCATGATATCTAGACATGCACTCCAATCTTTTGAAGGAAACAAGTCAAGTACAATGTCTCATGACAGCATGAGAAACGTCATAAAAAATGCAGAATAATTATTCCAAAACAACACCATAATATCTTTATTCAGTTTCAGAAGAGGGCTATGAGCTGTAGGTTATTTCCAGTAAACAGCAATGTGCTTTCTGGTAAAGGGGATGTATTTTGAGGGAAATATGGATTTTCATAAACTCAGTTTCTGCAGGCAGAATATTCCACTCCTTGGTACAGCATGTGCATTGGCTTTAATTTACTCAGATTCCCTTTTTACTTTTGTGAACTGTTTTAAATGTATTTTAAAGCCATCTTTTTGTTTCTGTGAAATACCTCGGGTTTGTGTGGTGAATGCTTTATCAATGCAAATGTAGCTATGTACTTTATAATGCATATATTGATTTATTTAGACTTGACTATTCCAGGCTGGTCTCCAATGTTCTGCCCTTTGTAAATTGAGGAGTTCTGCCTGCCCATCCCCTTTATGCTCACTGATCTATATTTGGATCCCAGTTAAGCAGTTCTTTTTTTTTCAAATCCTGCCATAGCTCATGCCTCACTGTAATCTCTACCAGCCGCACAATCCTTTCTAATTCTAACCCCTTGAGTATTCCTATTTTGGATAGCTTCACAATAGTGTGCCTTCCGCTGCCTAGGCCCTTAACTCTTGATTCCCTCCTAGACCTCTCAATCTTATTTTCCTCCTTTAGGATGTTCCTCAAAACTGGCCTCATCTGTCCTAAAATCTCCATATGTGCCTCAGTGTCAGATTTTGTTTATAATGCTGCTTGAAGTCCATAGGATGTTTTATTGTACTAAAGGCGCAACATAGATGCGATGTGTCCTGTGTTCATCAAATTTTAAGATGTTATTGTTGAGAATGGAATCTTCCCACTTTAGAGAATGGCATCCACAGTAAGATGAAGCAGCCACAGGGAAGGACTGTGATTCAGCCCCAAATCCCAAATTGACATACCGAAAGTCCAGATTTTTGCAGGATTTGAAACACATTCGTTTGGAATTTTGCAATTAGTGGAGACTTTCATCCTCGATATTGGAGCTGGTTTTGAAACTCTGTTGCCCTTTCTGGCCTGAGAATTGTTTAACCTTGTTATGCCATCCAGGTCCCTTGAATAATGTTTACTTCTTAGAATCATAGAATACCAACAATGTAGAAGCAGGCCATTCAGCCCATCAGCACCAACCCTCCAAAGAAGATCCCACCCAGACCCATCTCCCTACCCTATCCCTATAACACTGCATTTCCCATGACTAACCCACCTGTGCATCCCTATAAACTATGGGCATTTTTTTTAGCATGACCAATTCACCTAACTTTACTTCTATGGTCCAGCTCATTTTAAAAGTTCCTCAAGATCTTTTTTAGACTGTAAGTGTAATTGAAGTGTGTCTATCTTGTAATAATTGCAATGGAACAAATAATTGATAATCAATTATGTAAGTAGTAGTTTGTTAAAGGTTGGTAATGGAGTTTCATAAAAGAGCAAGATGGCTGCACTGTTCATAACCTTGGATACAATCTTACATTTCCAGAAAGAAAGAGGTAAGCTGTACAGGAAGAGCTCTCCATTAACACCTTATTTTGTGTTTGCTGTGGAATGAAATAACAAACATTTTGGTGTGAGGATTTCTGATCATATCATTGAGTTACAATGCTGTTCCAAATTAACTGAAGGTCTCAAATTATTTTAAATAGTGTGTGAAACAAATTTATCTTCTACTCCTGGAACAATCCATCCTGCTGCCAGCATTGAAGCTTGGAATAGAAAGTGGTACCCATGAACTGCAGAAACTGGCAATAGAACAGATAAGGGCTGTCACTCAGGTATGGATTGTTCATTTAGAAATCTCTTGGATCTCGTAGTAACGAACCAGCTATTTCATCGAAAACTTCAAAAAGGATAAATATTTCTAATATACTATGATTGGTTCACACGACAGATTCCCTGATAAAGTATATATAGTTTGAATAAATTAGATTTGACCCCATTTGGTCTACAAATCTATGTAACTGTTATCATGAAAAGAATGATTTGTCCTAGATGATCCTGATTTTGTACTTGAACAGGAAAGCAGAGTGATGTAATAAATTAAATAACTAAAATTTACAATGAAACAAGATGATCACTGAAAATAATTGTCTTGTCATCTTGGATAATGAATGCAACAATTGGATTTCTACAAAAAATATCGACATGTATTTGGTTAACAAAGATTGGTTCAAAATTTAAGCAAAGCTTACTCATTAAATTGATGCTACAGTTTCATTTCACTTTTAAGTTGGGATGCAGTATCATTATTTGTAATGCTGTTAAGTATCGTGTATGAACTTATTCCACTTGTTTTACACTTGTTATCAGTTAGAGGAGTGAAAATATATTTTGTTTGTCAACCACTTGAGCAGAGTTGGTTTAGCTGTTGCTCTGCCTGGGTCATAGTACGAAGTTCAACCCAATTGAATTTAGCCTCCCATTAGTATGGCGCTAGGTGAAAAAAGTACTAGCCTGGATGGAAAACAGACATGTTAGTGAATGTCATGCAAGCAAAGGAAAAAGTATGCAATCGTAGAGAAAATTTAAACCGGAAACCAGATTACACACAATATCACGAGACCATAAGATATAGGAACAGAATTAGGCCATTTGGCCCATCAAGTCTGGCTGATATGTTTCTCAAGTCTAGCTGATATGTTTCTCAAGTCTATTCTGCTACATTCTCCCCATAACCTTTGATCCCCTTCTTAATCAAAAACTTACCTATCTCTTTCTTAAATACCTTCAAAGACTTGAACTCCTAGCCTTCCGTGGCAATGATCCCACAGATTCACCACTTTGGGCTGAAGAAATTACTCTTCATTTCAGTTCTGAAAGATCATCCTTTCACTCTAAGATTGTGCCCTTGGCTTCTAGTCTGTCCTACTAGTGGAAACATCTTCTCCATCTCCACTCTCTCCAAACGTCTCAGTATTCTGTAAGTTTCAATGAGATCTCCCTTCATCCTTCTAACCTCTATCAAGTAATGACCCAGAGTTCTCAACCACTTCTTATATGTCAAGCCCTTCATTCCCCAGATCATTGTTGTAAATCATCTCTGGATCTCGTCCAAGGTCAGCACATCTTTCCTTAGATGCTGGACCCAAAATTGCTCACAATATTCCAAATGTGGTATGACCAGAGCCTTATAAAACTTAAACAATACACCCCTGCGGTTGTATTCTAACTCTCTCAAAATGAACAGTAGTATTGCATTTGCCTTCTTAGCTACCAACTGAACCTGCTTGTTAACCTTAAGAAATGTAGGATGCCTAAGCCCCTTTGTGCTTCAGATTTCCAAAGCTTTTCCCCAATTAGAATATAGTATATGTCTTTATTCTTCCTACCAAAGTGCATAACCTCCATATTTCCCACATTGTGTTCCATCTGCCATTTCTTTTCCCTACTCTCTTAGCCTATCCCAGTCCTTCAGCAGCTTCCCAGGCTCAACATTACCTGCCCCCCCTCCTATCTTGTGTCATCTGCAAACATACCATACTTTTCTGTATGTCTGCAACTGTTGTATGAAGCTGGTAATGTGAGGTTTTACAAGCTGTGCTTGAATTTAACATTTGAGTGACTGATGTTTAGAGTGGTAGTGCAGTGAAGTGTTTAAAAAGAAAAACTGCAAATGTGAAATCCAAGCAGTTGATGTTGGCATCCCATCCAATTTCAGGAGCATTTGAAAAAAGAAAACTTAAGAGTGTTAGGTAGAACTCCACCTTCACATCATGTAAAATTTATCCTGTCAAAATGGTAAACTACTTGTTATAGAAGAGGAGTTCAATTGATAAAAATAAATCTACTATGAATGTTACTTCTATCAGCAAGCCCTCCTTGCGTTGTCAGCTAAACCAATAGATAATACGTCATGGTTGTCCAACTTTAATCTGTTTTTGTGTCTGGTGCAGAACATTCTGTGCTATAATGAGGTATATGTTTGAAATAAAGCCAAATATTTGTATAATATTTTTAAGATATTTCTTAAAATATTTTTTAATCAGGTCCTTCTTAGCCTCTGGTTGGCATGAATATATGACTGTGTCTTTCTCATCCTCCAACCCTCTTTGGTGGGAAAACTGTTCTTAGCCTTGAGTTTCAATGTACAAAGCCATTATTAAAATTAATTGTCATCCTGTTCTGTCAAGCTTGGGAACTGTTATGTTTCAGAGCATCTCACGTGAAAAACGTATGTCAGATCTGTTTGGCTCGTATAATTACCATCTGCTAAATTAAAGGTACTGATTCTGTTCATTAAAGGCATGCAAGGAAAGCGCTCCGTTGTAAACTAGAAAACTGGTAGGAAAAGCAACGAATTCTGAATCTTAAACCACCAATAAACTAACAGTTAACTTTATAGCAAACAATTCAACATTTATCAGTTAGGCAGTTGCATTAAAGTTAAGCAGTCGTATATTTTTTTAAAAGCTGATTTCTTTTCTCACCAAGTTGTTCACTTGGCCTGAAACATGCTTGAAAGTTAGTGTACAAGCAGAGCAACAAATATGAAAATTGTTTGGATGGAAGGGGTGGCACATCAAAGGAGAATTTTATGTTATCGCAGAGACAGACACACAGACAAAATGGACGTGTCTGGTGAATGAGGGGAGATCAATAGAGAGAAAATATAAGAAATACAGAAAAAGATGCTAAAACAGTGAAAGTTTGAATAATGCTTCAGATATCAGCAATGTTATACAACAATGCATTGTGTGTCATGTGGGAAAAATCCCTGTTGGTTTGAAACACTAGCAGGATCACTACTCATTTCTTGACATATGAAATGTATTTTCAGCATTTTCCATTCATTCTTTCAGGGCTTTTGAGTCATTGTTTTTGTAGAAATGCCTTATAAAGTCAATTATTTATTCAGTAGAGCTGTCTATATTTAGTATAAATAATGGAAATTAGCAAAGCGTGTGAGTATTCCTGAATTGACAACTGAAGAAATTAAGGCCTGATGTTTAGTTCAGAAAGTTATTTTGACAGATCACAGATTGGCACCAGATATATTTGCAATTTTGTTGGCCTCTAGTTTGTTTGTTTACCTTGTATGGAAAAGGAGGGTTCAATCATTCAATAACAATAGATTTAAATACGATAGATATATTGATTTATATCAGTTCTGTTAGTAACATGCTGACAAAGAAAAATGATTTTTCTCGAAACAAAGTTCACACTTTTGTGCAACCAGTACATTATCTCTGATTTGTGGCATGGGGTTCTTCATCAGTTCGGGTGTCCTTCCCCATCAGGACAACCTATTTCTGCATTCTCTTTGTCATAATATGCATTTTTTCAATTCCCCACTCCTGCCTGTTGCCATTTTTGAAATTTCTTTAGGTAACTTTCCATTCTTTCAGCTTCAACAACGTTCATGTTGAATAATCATGAAAAATCTAACCCTGGCAATATAAGGTGGAGCTCTTTAAGCTTCTGTTTGAAACTTTTGAGAGACTCTTAGAATGCAATGCCAGTGTTGGTGAGTGAAGTAGAAACTTAGTCGACAGCAATGTAAGGCATCTGATTTATATATATTTATGTTAGAGTTTGGATTTTGAATTAGTGGCATGGAGGTTTAGATCTGTGTGTATGAGGGGGTTTAATGATTAAGGTATCTGTATTTCTGAAGCCATTTTTTTAAAATCAGTATACATGTATTTGTGTGTAAGTATGCACAAGAGAGAAAGATTGGAGATTCCTGGGGTGATAATGGAGATTGTTTGCATTTTGGGAGAGCAGACAGAGTAAACGTTGAGGAGCATTAGCTTGCTTTCAGTTTGAAGAGTCAGGATTTTCTTAAAGGGGAGAATCCCCAGAGCTTAGAAAGCTATTGTTTCCAAGTTTGCAAAAGTCCTGGTTGAATAAAAGCAAAATACTGCAGATGCTGAAAATCTGCAATAAAAAAAAACTCAGCAAGTCTGGCTATATAGAGTCATAGTCATACAGTCATACAGCACGGAAACTGACTCTTTGGTCCAACCAGTCCATGCCGAACGTAATCCCGAACTAAACTAGTTTCACCTGTCTGCTCCTGGCTCTTCAAGACCCATATTACTCTTCTTTGGAACTGAAAGGAGCTGGAAAATGGTGTTTTGTTTTAATGATGTTGACAGAGGGACAAATGAGCATGTGGAATAGCTTGTGAAGGTGTTCAGAGCAAAAGATAAAGGGAGTGACCATAGCGATAAAGGAGAGTTTGATATGTAAAATGGGTGTTAATGGTAGGTATGAAAGGGACAAAATGGGTTCGCTGTATGCCTCCAACAAGGCACAGGTGTGAGACGGTGGGGGATGTAAGAACAAAGTCAGACTCTGAAATTGGGGAACACAACTGAGGCCTTAAGGATGTAAAATGCCAAAGTGGAAAATGAGGTGTTGTTCCTCCTACTTATGTTAACTAAGGTGATGTGGATGCAGAACGAGCACCTGGGATTAAGATTGCAGTTCATATGGAGAGTCAAAGTCAACGAGGACTGGTTGATCCTCAGAACTATTTCTGTAGTTGCAGTATTTGTAGTCCGTGATAATTGCACAAAGACAGGATTCTTATGACGCACATTATCCCTACTTATTCCTCAAAACAACTTTAGGAGCTTGAACAAAAATTAATTACTGTTCCATTGCTTGCTAATTTTATTACAATTTAATCTGAAATAAGCACATGAAATAACTTCAATATATGTTCCACTTAAGTAAATTATGGCCTTTGTTACACTGATACTGGTGCCCTTAAATACATATAAGCTCCCAAGATCAAAAATGCTACAATGGAAGTAAACAGCAGTATCTT